GTAAATATTGCTCTCGGATATGACCTTGTTAGCAAAACTGATGATTCTGATACGAGATGTTTCCATCCGAATCTAAGCAATACCTCGGTGTCTAACGCGCCTGTTGCCATCAATAGCAGGAGCGATGTTAGTAAAGAAATTTCAGAGATTCGATCCATGGAACTAGCTGATAACCTCAACTACCCCAGCTCTGGATATATGGTTAAGGCTATCACCGGTTTTAAGATCTTCCTGTATCAGCGAGAGCATGCAATGGGTGATGGTGAAGCAATAATTCCCAAAATCATTCGTGATAACAAAATTATTGTCAGCTTTCAAAAAACAAACAACAAGTGTGTCTTCCATTGCATCTCCTTCCACAAGCAGGATGATAAAAAAAGACCCCCGAAGAATTCAAGCCTTGGTGAAACAGGCTTTCAAGCAGTACTGTTCATTCAAGGGTATTACCTACACTCTCGGCATTTTCCGAAGCTTTAAACCAATTAATATTCTCCAGTTTGATGAACTTGAGGACTGCTTCCAGCTTAGTATCAACGTCGTTATTATGGATATTGATTCCAGAAACGTTGACTGCATCCGTCGGTCCGATAAAGACTACGATTCGTCCAACATCTTTTCCCATGAGAATCATGTTCTCTACATCAAGAACTTGGACACGCTTCAGCGTAAATATCAATGCGCTAAGTGTGATATGGTGTTTGTTAGCACTGAAAGGCTTAAAAACCACAAGAAGGATCAGTGCGAGCTTGTCAATATTGAGTCATTCCCAGCTCAACTGACTATCTATCAATCAGCTCCGAATGTTATTGGCTCAATGTTAGCAAAGTATTCTGTCAAGAACGCTGACCAATACCTTGATCACTTCATAGTCTATGACTTTGAGGCTATTCACAAGCCAACTGGGGTAAAGCATGGGGCGAATACTATCTTTACCAACGAGCATATTCCTGTATCAGTATCAGTAGCTGATAGTCTAACTAGGGAAGTGCGTTGCTTCGTGAATGATGATACGAAAGCTTACTAAAGGACATGTTCGAATATGTTGGATACATTAGTGAGAAGATACAACGATACAACGTTTCCAAATACGAGTCCTTGCTTCGGAAGATTATCGATGCTCATGGATTAACAGCTATGGAAATTTCAGGCACTAATCTTGATATTAAGTATAGTACTGCTGATATCGATGATTGGATTAAGGCAGGTGATTATGCTAGCTTTTTCGATTTCCATATCAAGATCGCTTTTCGAAATCAGGGCTCCGACTATAAAAAGATCAAGGAGACTATCGATCAGGTAAAGATCCTAGGATTCAACTCTGGACGTTACGATATCAACCTTATCATGGCAC